TTCATGAGAAACTATTTGTTCTGTAAGCCTTCACCTGAAGTACAATAAAAAATAAAAAAGAAAGAGTCCCTCCCCAGAGCTGTCCTAAGGAAGGACCCAGAAGACATTCGCACCCAAAAGGAGAAAGTCACCGCCTAGCAATTGCTCTGCCCAGACTGCCTGTAGGATCCTAGGGTACTGAAATCTCCGGACATCTTCCTGGTCATCATCGGGGCCAGCCTTGTGATCTGGGATCTCCGCACTGGGTTATTTGAGATGCTCTCCTCCTGCCAGCATCAGGCCAGGTGTCCTGGACATCGGTGGCCAAGAACAGGCTTCAAAAGCTTAAGTGGAAGGCGACCATCTTCAAAGGGCTCTCAGACTTCCCAGAAAGCTTTGGCTCACAGTGCTGACCTCAGGTCAGTGTTTCCTGCAAATGAACTTGTGACAGCTTCATGAGGGCAGGGACTGTGTCTGTCTAGTTCACTGCTGAGTTCCCGACAACCCTTACACCAGGGGGCTGGAATATAGCCGGCAAGACTCAATACTGATTTGTTAAACAACATTCTAATAAGGATGGCAACTAAACAAATGAAGGAAGGAACAGAAGTACACTGGAAAGAGCCCAAGTTTTGGAGTCAGAGAAACCTAAATTTGAAGCCTTCCAGCTATACCATTTATTGGTCACGTGCAAGTCACTTTGCCTCTCTCAAGCCTCCACTTCTTCCTCTACAAGTAGGGATCACAATACCCACCTCAAAGGGTTGTTGTGAGCATCTGATGGAAATTATATGTAAAGTCTTTTTTTTTTTTTTTAATTGTACTTTAGGTGAAGGTTTACAGAATATATGTAAAGTCAACATGGCAGTACACGGCAGAGGGTACTTCTTTATTTTACATTAATAAACACTTATATACTATAATTCTTACTGTGTGTCAGACACTATTCAAACATGGTTGGGAGGATTCCAGACCACAATTAGTTCATTTAAATTCTTTTAACAATGCTTTGAAGTAGAATTTATTTTAACCTATTTGGCAGTTGAGGAAATTGAGGCACAGAGAGGTAAAGCAACTTGCCCCACGTCTGATATCTAGAAGTGGTAGGGCCAGGATTCACATTAATCCCAAGATCCACACTTTTAAGTACTACACATCTCTGCCTCTGTAGCAAGCAGTCAATGAATATTAATTCCTGTCCCCCGGTTTGATTATGGTAGATATTTGACCACATTATCAAACCGGGGTTTTCAGTTGCCACAGAAACAAATTTGGGGGTTCCCGTGGTTGACTGCTTAGTTTTGTTGTGTTTTAAACCCTGCTCCTCTGAAATCCAATTTCAGGTAAGTTTGTTTATTAAGAACTTCCCTCCCATCTTCATATCCCATAATCTCCTCCCCCACCATTTACCAGAAAAAGAGACACACTTCTGGGTTTAAAAAAAAAAAAGAAGGTAAGAGAAGAAATGAAAGACAGAGAGAGAGAGAGAGAGCACACGTGCGCTCATGCACTCAAGCTCCCGCGGGCTCACAGGAACAGGAACAGAGTCAAAGAAGGGTTCACCCACAACTAATTATCAGTAAGAAGAACTGCTTACATGTGAGGGTGCCCAAGGCAGAAGTAATCTACCCACATGGAGAACAACTATATCCAGTCTCAGGTTCCCCACAGGCCAAGGTAGCACAGGGAGAGAATTGAGCCATCTCTTCTAACGGCCCAAACCTCATCATAAAGAGAGCTTTCCATTTTTCCCCTCTGCAAGACTGCATTTGCCCTACTGCCTACCATGAAGGAAATTTCATTACCCAAATAAATCAGTGCTGCACTTGACCTTGCTTCTCCAATGGCTCAGGATTAGTGACATCATGATGCACTTTACAAATGCTCAGAAATATTGGAATAACCCTCTCGAGTCAAAAACACTTGGTATTTTACTAAAAGGCATTAAATTATTTTGATTTTACTACATGGAATCCAAAATGCTTTCAATGTTTTCATTTTCAAAACCCTCAGGGAAGAAGTATGCTCTTAAGAAATCTCCGAATCCTGGTCTGGTTTGCGTCCTTATTCGTATCCAGTAAGACGGGGAGCAAGCCAGAACCCAAGGAACAGCAGCTCTGGGTCCACACTACTCACATGACTCAATCCCTGAGTGGCTGACGTCCCACTGTGAAGGCTACCAAATCAACCTTTTCTCGTCCTCAAAGTCACAAGGCAGGTTACAGGCAGCTCGCAGGCACCTAGGGAAAGTTCCTCTTAAGGCGTCTAGCCTCTATTTTCCATAGCCCTGCTAGCCACCATGTTCCCCTTCCAAAGTAGCAGTAAAAGCAGAACTCATCCATCTTGGCCAAAGAGAGGGAGTTGAGTGGGATGTTTTCTCCTGGAAGTGCGGGTGGCTGCGGGGTCCCTGCAGCAAATGCACTTCCTGTACCCCGGCACCAGGATACACGACCCTGCAGGCTACTACTCAGCCTGGTGAAAAACCCACAATGAAGAGAACTACCCTTCCCAAATGAGGTGTAATTCCTAAAGCTGCTTGCTCAAAAGGACTGCCCCGTTTTAAATCAGGCTGGCCACCAACACAGTAAGCGTAGTGCTGATTTAAGGAAAAGAAAATCCACAGGTGCGCTCAGGGAGCACTCAGAATATAAGTAACCCTGGAAATTAAAGACAAGCTCACACAACTAGCATCATGTTTGTCAAATGACTTATAATTCTTACAGAGTCACAAGTCACAAAATTATAGTATCATGAAATGCACAAGTCTGAGGGATCCACGGACATCATCTTTTACCCTCTTTATTTACAGAGGAGAAAACTTGAGACCCCACACCAAGAGGAGGTTGTCCAAGTTCATGGTTGGCAGAAAACTAAAATCCAAAGCTTCTCAAATCCATTACTCCTTTTCCTGGCCTGCTGTCTCTGAAATTCAATTACCAACAAGAGTTTCATATTTTCATATGAAAATTTTTTTTAGGACTGAGTTATATGCAAGTGGGTTAAATCTACCACGGCTGCTGTCTAAAAAGGAAAATCTTAATGGGAAAAAAAAAAGCAAAACTGAAGTTTAAAAAATTAACTTTTCCTTTGAATTTATGTTCTCAGCCCAGAAGCCTCCTTACACTAAAGGACAGTGCCCTTCCCAGTATTCCCTGTGAGAAATGAAATGCTAGTAGTTATTCCCAACCAGGATTTCCAATATCATGTCAATATTTTAGATCAAGACAATTTCTGGGCAAACAAATGGGAGTTGTACAAGATAGAGTGTCCTGAAGCCACCCTTCACTACACATTATAAAATAGTCTTCAAAGAAGTCACAAAGATTAAAGTGCTTTTCTCTGCCTTTAAAAGAGGAGAAAGTTTCATTTTCAGGTATGAAGACAAGACCCTGAAATAAAATAGTCAGGCTGAGGAAAAGGAGCTTAGGGTTCTCCAAATGAGGAAAGATACAAACTGGAAAACTAAGGCACTGAAACTTTCTGCCCACAGCAGCTGAGATGTTTCATCCCAAGTCTATTTCATCAGACATAAAGAAGCTTCTGTGGCTACACAGGAACACACAAGAGCCTACAACAAATGCTGAAGGTTTGGGTTCTCTCTCTCTTTCCTGTGTGTGTGACACAGACAGGCTGAGAGACGCCAATGCTGCCGAAAGAAAAATTTCCCTTGTTTCCATTACATCATCCAAGTTGGAGAGGGGGAGGGTGGAGTGGGGGGCACAGCTGGTGGCAGCTGCACCACCATCTGCTTTCTCTTTAGCAGTGTGTGCTAGTTTGAGCTGCAGCCTCCTACGGCTCCTGATAAGAGGAAGTGCAGTATTAAAGGCACAACACCATATTATGGAAAAGCTTTAAATTATTTAGAAATAAATCACTCCCATGGTAAGTTAACAACCTCAGGTACGTTGCTGAGCTGGTTTTCTTTGAGTTTAGGTTATTTGTTTGCATCTCTTTAGACTCAGCTACAGAGCAAATTCTGTCAACTCAACCTGCCCAATTAGACAAGCAGAATGGACAAGCAATCACCTGCCAGCTGTCTCTCAAAAGGTAAGCAGCCAAAAAGTACAGGTCTCCAGCTACAAGTATTTACGGAAGGAGTGGAGTCTGCCCAAACCCAGTACACAAGCCCCACACCAGTAGATGGAAATTCACTGCTGCCTTTGGCATCCCAAGCCATCTGGTCAACCAGTCTCACTCCCCTCGGCACTCCTGGAGTTTCCTTCAGAACACACTGTAGGGTGCCGCCTTGCAGAAGGGGAGAACAGCAAAAGTATCCTCTGGGGTTAATGCCTAATAAGGCTATTCAACTGCAAACTGGCAGCAAAGCATCTAACTGGTGTTCAATGGTCTATTCAAGCCCATGTACACATTTTATCTGGCCTGTACAGGGTTGTGGGAAAAAAATTAGTAGATTTCATATAAACATTTCGATTGCTGGCTCTTACTGAGGGTGTAGGGGTAGGGGAATCAAGAGATATAGCAACACGAGGTCTCCATTCCTATGTGGCACCAGTTACCTTGAGCTAAGCAGCAATGCTTCATTTAGATGGAGCATGTGTTCTGAGGAACTGGTCCCCACCACTCAGCATCTGCATCTGCCACTGCAACCATCTATACTCCTATCTGTACCTTGAGAGCTTTTGCTGTAATACCACTGAGAACATAGGAGAAGAAAACCCCAGAGAGTGATTTCCCAGTGGTCCTTCATCTATTCTCCTCTTTAGTTGAGATTCAGGTACCCATATGACAAACTAAAATTCTGCAAAGATCATCCAACCCAATACAGTGAATGGATTTCAGTAGAAGGCCAGCTACAACCTACCCCTACTTCAATCAAAGCAGACTCTGGTATTTCAAATGAGCATTCCAGGCCAACTTACCATACATTTTGCCTTCGTCTGATAAGATGATTTTCCTCCTCCCACATGGTGGATAGATAGCCAGGGCCTCCTGAAAGCTCTGCTCAATGTCGGGGCTCCAGACTCCTTCAGCATCATTGTCAATTGGCTTATCTGCAGAGTCACTCATCCTTTCCATGTTTTCGGCAGGGCTCTCACTGCCGCTCCAGCTGCTGGGCTCAATTTTGGCGGTTGGATTTTCCAAGCCGAAGCCTGGAGTCTTTTCAAGAAAATAAACCTAAAAGAGAAATCACAAGATAGTATGATAAGGACGTGGTATCCACAAAACATTCTGCTCTTGCTAATTCTTGTGCAAATTCTTTGGTCGTCAACTTTGCTAGGAGAATAATTCCAAGCAGAGAATATGGAATGTTGCGTCCATGTGGCTTTTGTTCTCTATGTATCTTGTTAAGCACTCATACAGAAATGCAATCGCAAGCAGAAGTCAGATAATCTTCCCAGATGAGAGGAAATTTTCATCTGAGAATAGTACTTACTCTGAGTTGCAAGTTTGCAGTGAATCATGCAAAAATCATTTACTCAGCGTGCCAACGGTTAAGTGCTTGGCTGCTAACCAAATGGTTGGTGGTTCGAATCCACCCAGAGACACCTTGGGAGAAAGACCTGGAGATCTACTTCCAAAAAACCACCACTAAAAACCCTACGAAACACAATTCTACTCTGACACACATGGGATCACCATGAGTTGGAATCGAGTCGACAGCAATTGGTTTTACTATCTACCAGGGGCACTTTGGTCAATGAAAACCAAGCGTAGGTAACTAAAACAAGTTGTTGACAAAGTAAAATAAAAGATGCCCTCCTTGCTGTGGCAACTGGTACCATAACTTTGAAATGTCAAACCATCCCAATACTCATAACTCCAAGAAGCAAGACGGTAGCAGGATGGGGAGGGAAAGAGGAAGATTATTTTGCTATCACAAATACTCATTCCACAGAGACAGCAGCTGCCAGCTGGCCTGGACCTACTATCCTATGGCATTTATCTTCTGGACTTTTCCCTGCACAGTCAGGTCTCTTTTCTACTCTCAACTGCTAGACTGTAACCTTGAAAGAGGAACCAAGTTGTTCCCATTTCTGTATTCCCTGCAACGTCCATCACAAGTGCCTAGCACATGTGAGGAAATGTTCTATACCCACATGGGACACTTCATCTTTTAACCTACTCTGCATTCTGATCACATGACACCTGTGGGAGAGTCTTTCATTTATTTTCTTCTGTAGCCCTGAAGATTACAGAACCCAAAGAAATCTTTCTCAAATATTTATTCCCCTTAAATTATGCATGTAACCTAAGGTCCTAAAGTGATAAGCTTTCAAAACAAATGTCAAACTGGCATAACACCAATGTGAAAATGATCTAATCCAGCACTCCCTGCTGTCCAGCACACCAACATATCAATATTCCTTTGCTGAAAGGGCATCAGATCACAAATTCAAAGGTTTTCGAAAAAACGGGGAGACAAATTGCTCCTGGGGATTGATTGAAAAGGGGAGGTACGAGCCTGAGTGGGGAGGTCTTACTGTGACCGTTGTTTCTCCTTCACCCCTCACCCCAATTCCATGCAGCATTACAGCAGAGGCACTCAGGAGGACAGGAGGTGCTAGTGGCCCCACCCAGCACCAGGGACTGCTCCATGTTCCAGGGCAGTCACCACAAATCTGTCTTCTTTCCTTCTCTCTCCCAACTGGATCTCATTGCCCTGCCCTCCCCCAGCTGTTTATATCAACGGATCCCAGGTGCAGAGACTCTGAGGCACGCGAACATTACACAATTAATCGTGTAACTGGTGGGTGCTTTTGGCTTCTTACCCTGACATCTTTTTAGATTTGGCAGCGCATAGACAGAAGAAACCCTCAGGTTGTCTGCCTTTAAAGGCTGCCATTGATCCATCATTCAAAGAACTTGTTTGCAAAATATTTACTACTTCTTACCAACACATGTACATTTACACAGGACTTTAAAAATTGCCAGATGTTAAGGTGTAATTTATGCCACAGGAAAGGATTTTATGATTGACCCCCAGATGAACTCTACAATGCCTGCAGTGTGGGCCATTTGAATTCTCAAACTATTACACTTTTTGTTGGGATCCAAGAGTCTTACAAAATTCAAGCTGAACGGTACTCTACCCTAGTGACTGTTCTAGCTCCATAAGTGGTTTACTGAAGAAATTTTAAGAATAAGAGTGAAATTTTTAAACAGTGGCTATCCCACCTATTCCCTCCCAAATCTCCCCAAACAAAACAAAACACCACACACATACCACAGGTCAGTTGTGGAATTCTGGGCCGCTCACAGCAGTATGAATTAACTTCAGGGAGCTACATTTAAGACAGGTACTGAACGTACACAGCATTCGACCAGGATAGTAGAGGGATGGAATCCAGGACAGTGAGGGCTAGCTGAAGGGACCAGGGAGCTTAACCAAACACTGTGCTCCATAGTGTTCAATGCCTGATCTTTCGGAACTAGACTATCAGGCCTTTCTTCTGAGGCACCTTTGAGTAGACATGAATCTCCAACCTTTCCTTTAACAGACAAGCGCATTAACTGTTTGCACCATCCAGAGACTCCAGGGGAGCTTAGGTTAGCTAAAAACAACATTACCATATAATTGAGAGCTTCAAAGTCTCCAGACCAAAACGCAGCAGCATCCCCATCTAACGCCTGACATTCCCTCGGAAACTTCTTACCAACTGACCACAGTCTGTGCTTGAATATCACCAATGACAGGGAACTCATTACCTTATCAGTACCATCCTTCTTCAGACTGACATGCGGAAATTCTTCTATTTGGCTAAAATCTGTCTCCTGGTTACCCTCTACCTATCCATCCCTTGTGAGTCTATTCATTTCCTGGGGAAGCCAATTTCCCCTAAAACATCTATTTAGATATGACAGGAGCTGCCCCAGGTCCCTGGCTGTCTATCTTCCAGACTAGATACAATTCACATCATCCCTCTGCCCACCCCTTATGGATGCAGTCTGGTTTGTCCAGAACCCTCAATAAATGGCACTCAGAGGTGGACTTATGATCCAAAAATCCTCTAAGTGGCCCTCTCTTCAGATACTGCTACTATATCCTATCTCCCCTACTGTGTACTTGTGCAACTGGGTTAGGGACTAAAGGCAGGAGTTTATTTATTCCTATTAAATTCCATTATTTTAAGCTTTAGCCATGGCCCAACACTGGTAAGATCCTCCTGAATCATAATCGCCAAGCTTTGTGTCATTAGACATTGAACCACCTCCGAAAAGCTGTGACTTAGGGAGGGTGTAGACTCATTCTGTGGAGGTTCCAAAGAAGATTCTTACTCAACTTCCTGCTAGTTGACCTGTTCGACAAGGGGTGGGATGCCCTATAAGACAGAAGCAGAATCTTACTTGCTAAGCACAGGTGCTGTACTAAGTGTCTGCATGTTTTAATTCATTTACTGCAAAGGGGAAGAACTCTGTGTCCAGACTCTTGCCATGTGGTCAACTGGATCTCAGCAGGATGGAATAACCTACTCTGGACATGGGCCCGGACACAGCCCCAGAAACTACCAGATACATAATTCACAGAGTCATACAGACCCTTGGTTTTACAACCCAATTGTAAGATGAGGCTCGGTATGGGCAGAGTTTCCGATCACAAGACTGGGGCTGGCTGAGAAAAGCTCCTGTACTGGATACCAAAATAACCATTCTGGCGTTCCGTCCCTCAGGTCCTTTCCAGCCCAGCTCAAAATCCACCTCATCCTGGAAACTGTCCTGGATTCAGTGGCTCAGAGAGTACCAGCCTTAAGAGTATCCTAAAAACATACAGAATTAATTATCACTCCCAACAAATCTACCCGGTTTCTGAATTTATAGCAACAAGCACCTGCTTATTATGACAATAAGATCTAATCAAGGGAATTATGCATAGAATATCTGTACCTGCAAAGCTAATGTACTTACCTCACCATGCATTCTTTGAGCAGGTCAGTTAACTTTAGCTCAATTCAGTAAATGAAGAACACAGGATTGAGGACCAGACGGGAGAGGGAGTGTGTTATTTCAAACCAAACTGATCTGAGTTCCAAACCCAGCTCATCCACTAGCCAGGCAGCCCTGGCTAAATTAGTTAATCTCTCAGAAGCTCAGGTTTTCACTTGTAAAATGAAGATAATAAGTTGAATTCAATCCCAATGCAGAAAAATCATTAAGGGGTGAGGGGAACCTAGCCCACAGGGTTGCTGTAAAGACTTAGTGAGATAATGAGTGAAGATGCCCTCGTCTGTAAAACCGTGAACAGATGGTCATTTATTTTCAAGTCCATCATCTCCGGGCAGTGGCATGTACCTTGGGATGCCCAAACACCTACTGATAATGGGATGGTGAAGAAATGAAGGCACTTCCCCTAATGAGTCCCTTTGGGAAATCAACTTACAAAGGACCCTCTGCCTTACGGTCTTCAGATGACTAAATGGACAATTAATCGCTGACAAATGCCTTTATTTCTAATAGTCATCTAAATCTGTACTTATTCACAGCTTCAATAGCCTTCACACTCTTCTGCGCTGTTCGGGTCACGAAAACAGCCCCTTTCAAAGAACATCTAAAAGGAATGAGAGTGGAAGGGAACTCGTTTGTTGAAAATATACTATGTATCATGCAGATCTCATATGCCTCAGTTTCCATGTTAACACTTTTCTGAAGGCTCCCTTTTTCTGGAAAGTCTTCCCAGCCCCACTATAATAAACTCCAAAAGGCTTCCAGTGACCCAAGTACTCCTGCTAACTGCCCTAACAGCCACACTCCTGAAATGGACAGTCCTATTACAATTGCCCCGGACACTTCAAGGAGAGTAACATGAGGACAGTGAAATCATATCACCGCGCATTCAGCAATACACATTTTATTATAAAACCCCAAGACAGTCCAACGCAAGTGATTCTGAAGCCCTCTCTATTCAACGAGAGTGTGCACAGAGGGATATGAGGGGGACACAGGAATCTGCTGCTCCCCTCATCTTAATTCTTGTGAGTCTCTCATAATGTAAGCATCTCATCCACTCACAGGTAATTTAAAGGCTCTTCAAGGGCAATTTTGAATACAGGTGCTTTTCATATTTAAAACTAACCCATATGATTAATGAAATGCCACTGAATATGAGAGTCCCCAAAAAGAAATTCATCTGGCTTGAGTTAGCCAGTCTCCTCCATATTCTATGAGGAAGTAGGAAAACAGCTGGACTGCGAGTTAGGACTCT